ATGATCCGCTCGGTTTCCTCGCCCCAGCCAGCGAGCAATGCCAAGCGCTGGCCAGCGTAGCCCTGGGTTCCACCAGCGTGGACCCGTCTGTCTACCCCAAGTTTCGCGGCTTGCGCTCCCATTGCCTTCCTCCCACCACCTCCACTTCTACTCTCTCACAAATCTCGACACGTTGCTCTTTATTCTATCGCCACACCCTACGACCCGGCAGCAAAGGTTCGGCCTCCACCCAGCGTTACGGCCGGGCGAGGCTCCCTGCCTCAGCTCGCTTGGCAGGGACTGCGACCCGGACCATGGGTTCGCTCGCAACCCTTTAGTCGACCACTCGGCGTTAAGGTTACCCAGACGACCTACAAACACCACCTCCCCTTCCTGCTTGGAGACGTCGCCTCTCCCTTCCCGACACGACACGCCTCTGGCGACGCGCAATTTTTCGCAGTGGGCGCCTTGAATCGCCCTTATTGAAGCTGCTCGTAGGCTCCTCAATTCCTTCTCTTTCATCATCTGCTTGGGTCGTTGGGAGCGGTGGCCGGAGGGATGGACGCGTAGAAGGGAAGCGGCGGAGGGGGGCGAACATGATGACTATTCTCTGATTTCTATCAACCACAAGAGCTGCAGCTCACCCGATCTCGCGAGAGCGTTTGCAAGGGGGCAAGGCTGAGAATTATAGTCTGATTTCCCATCTGTAACCCCCTCGCGTCCTCAATCATGCTGCAACCTCGAACGGACGTTCTTCGGCATCTCTCTCTCGCGCGTGAGCGAAAGGCTTTACGAGGGTGAGCGGAAAGGATGGCAAGGTTCTGGGGTCCTCCTCGGAAGGCCGACAAAACTCAAATCATGGAGAACTGTATCGGAAGTACTTGAGCAGAGTTTAAACAGTTCGGGGAAAGTGTAGCGAGGCGAGGAAGGCAGCGGAAGGTCCGCGTTCCGGCGAGCGTACTTTGAGTGGCGATCTGCAGGCTGAAAGGGCAGTGGGTGCTGATCATCTTCTGGGGGCAGACCGAACGAGAGCGAGGAAACATGTCTGGACCCGCCCATTATTCCCCTCAATTAATGGTCACGAGACAAACAGCGACGAGTCAGGACGCGCGTCCTTTGAGCGTGATAGTCATGCGGAGCCCTCTGCTGCAAAAGTCAGGGCGGTGTTAGTGGTTGGAACGCACGATTGCTGAGACCCCTCCAGATCCTCAGAGTCCCCTCGCGCTTTCTCGCTTCCGTAACGATCAGACGAGGAGGATATCCCGCCCGACCCTGGCGATTCAGATCGCAATCCTTGAAAGCCTGTCACGGCCTCCCCTTCGTCACCGGTCCAACGCGAGTTGTGGGACAGGGACGCGGCAATTTTGGTTACAAATCAACAAAAGTAGAGAAATGCAACTACGCTTGGACCTGTTTGTGTTGCGCTGCACTGTAAGAAAAAAGCGGGGTGGGGCGAACGCAAACGCTTGACGCGCGGAGCTTGGGCGGGACACATGGCGGGCATTGCCGTCTCGCCTCAAGTGTCGATGATAATCCCCCCCGTTCTCTCTCTCTCTCCTACCACTTCGTTCGCCCCTTTTTTTAGCATTGCAATGCCAGCGACACGACGAAGGAGCACCGCGTCGACGTCGCCCCCGATCCTGAGCTCGCCGGCGATCAACAAGAAAGCCAAGCTGCTTCGCTCGTGTACACAGTGTGAGCCCGCCCCGTCTCCGTGCCCCCCGCGGGCTGCTCCTCGTGAGCGTCGAAGCAGCGCTGATGCAGCTCGTCGGTCGGATCGACAGGCCACAGTCGCAAAGTTCGTTGCTCCCAAGAGACGCCCGCCTGCGCCGCCTGCCTCAAGCACGCGAAGACGCTCGGGATCGAGCCCTCGTCCGTCCAGTGCGAGTACGTCAACCCGCCGTCGCCGGCCTCGCCCTCGTCCCTCCCGAGCCCGCCCTTGCTCCCCGTCGAGCCGGCCGACGGCGTGTTCGATGGCGGTGGCAGGAGCCTGAGGAAGACGACCACGAGGACCAAGGGGTTGCCGTTCCTCCAGCGCGAGCGATCGACGTCGCCGTCCGTCGCCGTCGCCGTCGACGTCGCGAGCACCGCCGCGTTTGACAGCCCCGCGCCCGCTCTCGCCGTCGGGGACCACGAGTGGAAGCTCGAGGGGTTGGGCAGGGCCAAGGACACGAGGAGGTTGAAGCTGGTCACCAAAGCTCACACGAGTACGTTCACGAGCGAGGGGTTATGTCCGCGCGGTGCTAACCTTCGCGACCCATTGCGTGCAGCCGAGTCGACCACGTTCGCGTTCAAGCACCAGCACCAGCTGCCTACGCCCGACACGTCCCCGACGCTCCCCTTTGCTTCGCCGTCCCAGCACCCAATCTACCATCACCAGAACCCCCACCACAGCCCGCCGACGTTCCAGCCGTACTTTACCTCGCTCTTCAGCAGCGCCAACCCCGTTCCTCTCCCCGTCGAGCAGCCACCTCAACCTCAGCCTCACTTTGCGCTCCGCCAGAACCCCGTTCCCAAACTCGCTTCCCCTACCCCTACCCCAGATCTTCACTACGACGGCAGTCCACCTTCCCGGGCTGGCGACCCGTGGCTTCAAGCCCAGCTCGACAGGATCGTCGTCCCGTCGACTCCGTCGTCGCCGTCGTTTTACGATCCGTTCGCCAACAACGACGCGACGCTCTTCTCGATGGACTTTCACTCCCCTCCTTGTCCGACTTCTGGAGTCGAGGGGAACTACTCGGGGTACTTCTGAGTTTGAGGAGGGTCTCTTTGATATATACACGCACGCGCACGCACGCTTCGTGTTGGGCTGTCTCGTTTTCTGTGCTTTTGTACCGGGTCGTCGATATATGGTGCTAGGCCCATCCCCCTACCTTGCTTGTTTGTTTCTACTCCCTCCCCAAAATGCAGAATATGTCCCACCTCTCCCAGTCTTTGTTGGCAATGCAACTCGTCCTTTTTTATCGGTGATCGAGTGGAGCCACGTCAGTTGTTTCGTGCGAGTTTTTGTGTCAAAGATGGGCCTCCACTTTGTCCACGAGGAAGGTCATCCATGAATGACAGAAAAAGCTATACACCAATCAATTAAGCTCAAGTGAGGACCACCAGCCATTGAACGGCCGCCACTGCGAGCAACTTGGTGGTTCTCGTCCGGCAGCCGCCCGCTGCTCTCTGCTCCGTTCCACGTTGTCGCCAACTGGGGTCCGCCTCCACTCGCCTCCCGTCCGACCCACGACGATGTCCCTCCCAGCGATGGACCCCCCGACGGACGTGCACCTCCCCTTCTCCTCCTTCCTCAGCTGGATCCCCTCCTTCCTCCACCCCTCCCTCCGCACCCTCCTCCAACGCGCGCTCCGGCTCGGCCCTCGCCCGCAACACGTCGCCTTCATCATGGACGGCAACAGGCGGTACGCGAAAGCTCATGCCGCGAAAGAAGGTGGACCGGTCGACGTCAGGGTCGGCCACGAGGAAGGGTTCGAGGCGCTCAAGAGGGTCTTGAGCTTCTTTCTGAAGCTCGAGATCCCGCATGTCACGGTTTACGCGTTCTCGATCGAGAACTTTAATAGGCCGCCGGGGGAGGTCGAGAGTCTGATGGATATGGCGAGGGTCAGGTTGGTCGAGATCTGCGAAAAGGGGTGAGTCTCGCGCACGTTGTTTACGAGATGCGAAGGGGTTAGAGCTGATGCTCTCTGGCTATCCGATGGCTAGGGCGTTGTTGGATAAACATGGTGTCCAGATAAGGATCCTTGGGAGAAGAGACCTCCTCCCGCCGGACGTGCAGGAGTCGTGTGCGAGGGCAGAGGCGCTCACCGCCAACAACAAAAAGTGCGTCCTGCCATCCGTGTGGTTTGGGTCGCGAGTGAATACAAGCGGGATGACTGACATTCGTGGCTGATCATAGAGGGATTCTCAACTTCTGCTGTCCTTATACGTCTCAAGAGGAGATGGCGACGGCCATCAAGCGGACTGTCGACTCGTGCGATGGTGGAGCCATCAAACCAGAGTGCGTCAACAACTCGTTCCTGTATCGAGTCTGAACATCTACTCACTCTCTTTTGATGCAGAGACATCACCGAGGAAACGCTCTCCGCAAACCTCTACACCTCTGCCTCGCCTCCCCTCGACATCTTGATCCGCACGTCCGGCGTCAACCGTCTCAGCGATTTCCTTCTTTGGCAGGTGAGCTCACCTCCTTTTCCCCCTCAAAATACACAAGCTGATAGTCATCGCATTGCAAGGCCAACGAGGACACCGTGATCCACTTCATCCCACCCAACTGGCCAGACATCGGCGTCGTCGACGTCCTCCCCCCGCTCCTCTCTTACCAAGCTGAGATGTGGGCTTCGACTCTCGGCAATTGGTTGGGACTTACGTCAAGGGCTGTACCTAAGTGAGAGCGGGCGTGGTACTGGGTTGAAGCTGTTCCTGTTGTACTATACCTCGCATTTCTCTCATCTTGCACGCATGGGGCTGGGGAGCACGTGGCGAAGCGACGTTTCTTGACGGGTGTGGAGACCAGACCCGTGATATTTGGCGATACTTTACTGCATATGGAACGCTGTCTTGGGACAGTGGAAGCGAAAGAGAGGAAGTGAGAGACGTGGAGGGGAGCCTGGTAAGATCCACGTTGCCTCCGGGTCGACGTTTTGGTAAGCTGAGGGAGCGAAGGGGATTCTCCTGGGGCTAGGAGAGGAAAGAACAACAACGGCAGAGGCACTTTTGTTTCGGAAGGGAGGAACAGAGTGAGCAAGTGCGTGGGTTAGGAAAGACGTGCACTGCGATGGCCGGCGCCGTGAACCCATTTGAAGGTCAAGGGTAACCAGAAAGGGGGACCTTTCCACAAACCACCTAACGACTTTACGTGACCATGGGCCATAGCTTCATCTACTCACGAGCAGTACTGCTCCTTTTCGTGATCTATTAATTTTTTTTATTATATCTAACATCTCAATTAATTTTTCTGGATTTTTGCCTTTTTCGGTCCGGACCGTCAGTTTGGACCACGTCATCATCCGAAAGATGTCTTGATAGCTCAGTTGGGAGAGCGTACGCCTGAAGTTATTCTTCAGGTTCATCCAGCGTAAGGTCCCTGGTTCGAGCCCGGGTCAGGACATTCTTTATTTTCTTTTCATTAGTCTTGATAGCTCAGTTGGGAGAGCGTACGCCTGAAGTCACTTTCAGGTTCATCCAGCGTAAGGTCCCTGGTTCGAGCCCGGGTCAGGACAAATTTTTTGCTCCTGTGGGTCATCGTTGCCCCTTGGGTGCGGTCCTGCCACCTCGACGTCCGTTAATTTTTTTTTCCTTTGTTGTCGCTCGTGAGCACTGTGGTCTCTATCTCTTGGAGCAACATTCATTCTCTTTTTCACACTCTGCTTTTGTTTCCAGATTTCGAAGGTCCCTGCCCCAGGAGGAGAAGGGCGAATGCTGCCCTGCCGACGTGGCGCCGTGCATCCGTCCTGTTTGGATACTGCGCTCGTGTCGACCATAAGCTGACCACTTACAAATCTCTCTCCGAATCTCAACCTCATTCTTTAGCCAAAGGGAAGACGAAAGCAAGAGATAAAAGTTCGTAAAACTGCAGAGGGGTTGTTGCTAGAGCGAGAGGGTATTTTGAACATCTAAACTGGCGAGATCCTACTAATCGAGGATCAAGAGCGGGTAAATAACTCAACTATACAAACAAATGAAGGGGTTCTGGGAAGGAAGTCTAACTAAAAAGGGGTCTTCGGTGCGACTTCAAAAAGCGTGTGGAACGAGCCCACTCTCATCGAGAAGTGAATGCGCCTGTCTCTTGACTCTTCGTAGTGCCGGCTGGGCGAGCGGATGTCGACCACGTTCGAATCGATCGCGCTGCCGTCGTACGTGAGCGCGATGTGTGAGCCCGTGATAATTTGAGCGAGTTGGCCGGTGAAGGCGTTCCGAATCTCGATCAGGTTGGGAGAGAAGGCGTCTAGAAAGTCAAAACTCAGTAAGAGCTAGGTACTCATGATTGAGGAGAAGACATACAGATAAATGGAGACTGGAAGGCCACTTGCTCTGGCTTTGACTCCCACTCCAACAGACCGAGGCGACCGGCGATGGGCTCTCTGCAAGATGGGCGGCGAAGGTCAGTAGCTGGAAATCAGACTGTGCAAGCGAGATCAGAAACGCGCCCATGCCTGAGAAAGGGAGAGTCGAGGGTCAGAACGCGTCCAAAGCACAGAAGAAGGGACGCGAGCGTACTTGTCAACGTGGAAGGCAAACTCGTCGTAGACTAGGAGGAATAGGTTGTCCTGCAGGCGGAACATGCCCAAGTTCTTGCTCTCCTCGCACTTTTTGATCAACGCGCTGATGGTGGCGTCTCGCTGAACCTGAGAGAAGTCGGGCACCGTCATCGTTCTAACCGAGCTGAGGTTAGCATCCAAGCCTCGCGAGTCGGAAAGAATAAGAAGCCTCACCGAAGCGTCTCGAGGTTCATGATCTCGACTCCTTTGACTCGAACGATGGCGAGTTTGCTCTTGAGGAACTGCACCGAGTTGACCATCGTCGGAAGGAAGAAGTCCTACACGCAGGATCCACCGCGTCAGCTTTGGCCTACGCTGACGAAAAGAGGCAACGAACCTTGTAGGTCCGGAACCACTCTGGCTGCTTGTTGCCGCCGAAAGGCCGGAACCGGTGACCGGCGGCCGAAGCACGGTCGGCGGCGCTGACTGGTTCCAACGCCTTGAACACCGACTCCTTGACGCCGCCTCGCTTGACGTCTGTCAGAGAAAAAGTGAGCGGGGCATTACCATTAAAGAAAGGGCTGAGCTCACAAATGACAAGTGTCCGTGGCGGGGCGTCGTTCGATTCGACTCGTCCGACCCGGAAGAAGAGGACGGGCTGTTTGCCGCTGAGGCGTTGCGGAGTCCTCACTGCATCACCGGCGCTATTGGCCGAGGGAATCAATGCCTCCAGCGAATCTGTGGGGAGCTCAGTCAGACTGAGTTCACGATAGAGAGAAACCTGAGCAAAGCTCACAAGCGATCAAAGCTCCATCAGCGAGAACGAGAACGAATCCGAACTCCTGCAACAGAGCGCACTGCGTGATTCCGGCAAGGTGTACGACCTGACGCATCTTGTCGCCCCTGAATCCGATGAAAAGACCCTTCTCGCAGCCAGCAACGACCAGCGACCGACCCTCGAACGTCAGCGGTGCCGAACACGTCGGTCGACCAAATTGAGACTCTGGCGGTGCCGAGGGAGTGAGGCTGCCGAAGACGGATGTGCCGAACGTTTGTCCTGAGAGAGGCTCGATCCGAACGACCTGATTCGCCTCCTGCGTCTGGGCGCGAAGGTCGAGGGCCTCTCGTAGCTTCTGCTCCCACGCCGCTCGAACGGCAGTCGACTCGACGTAGAAGGTGAAAATGCCCTCGTTTCGACCGAGGAGGAAGAGGGTAATAGGATATACGAGAGACGCTGAGGTGTCTTGCTGGGGCGTCGGCGACGTCGGGTTGTCGTTCGTGCTGCTGAACTTTCTGCTGGGGATGTGGATGAAGCCGGAGCTACGAGGGACGCCCATCTCCGAGAAACTTGAGGGCTTGAGCTGTACGAGCTCGAGCGGGAAGGGCTACAGTAGAATAGTTAAGTTCTGAACATAGTAAAGAAGGAAAAGTAGTGGCTGGACTAACCCGTCGTGCGACCGAATGCTTGCCCTCACGCGGCGGCTTCGTGTTGACGACTGGAAGACGAGTTGTCAGCAAGCCATACTTTCAAACATTCGCTCACAAGACAAAATCACACTGACGGTAGTTGTCGAAAAGAATCATGAACCCTTCCGAGAATTCTGCACCCAAACCCGTGCCCTCGCTCCTTCTCCAAGCCTTGCTAGACTGGAAGTGTCGACGCTCCGGATTGAGAAGGTCGAGGTCGAGCGTCCCCCGCTTTATGAGCGACTTGTGGTAGTTCCGGCACTCGACTCGGCTCGTCATCTCGGCACTTCCAGCGTTCGCCTCGAGTCCCTGCTGTTTGAGGACCTCCATCGCCTGCTTGACGTACGCCGCGTCCTGGTCGCCCTCCTTCGTATTCTTTTCGATTCCGCCGAGGAGAAGGTTGTATCGAAGAAGTCGGAACGTCGGACGCTTGTGGAAGGACTCGAAGCCGGGCTTGGTGTCCTTGCTGAACTTGTGGAAGTCCTGTGATGACCACGTCAGCGCCGCGCAAATGAGGAGGGAGTCAAACAACGAACCATGAGGAACTCGTTGAACCGTGGGTTCTCCGCTTTCTCCTCCTTCAAAAGCGCATCGGCCATCGGAAACATCTTGGCGAACTGAACGTACGCGGGTCCCCAATCGAGCGCGGCGGGAAGGACGAGATCTCCAATCCCCGAAACGACGTAGTCCTCCTTCTGCCGATCCATCAGCCCCATAAGGAGACCTCGACTATGGCGGCGAATCTCGTCGATGTTGAGGAGGACGTCGGAGAGGAACTTGTCGATGCGGTTCGGTGGGATGATGGGCGGTTGGGCGGCGAGGAGAGGTTCGACAAAGCCCTGTACGGCAGTGGCAAGTCAGCTTCTGAGCCGTCGACCAGCCAATCTGATGAGAAAAGAGCAAACCTTCTGAATAGTCTCAAGATCGTTGTGGTACGCCTGCTCCGTCTGGATGAACTCGAAGATGAGGAGCTGACGCTGGAGCTCGTGCTTGTCCAGCGAATCCTTGACCAACGCAGGCACCGAGGAAACCCAGTTGTCCGGCTCTTCAACCGTTTCGATGGCCGACGAAGTAGAGAGCAAGCTCGGAGCTCGGTGGAGTTGGTTCTGTTGCACAGCATCATATCAGCAAGTCTTTCTTCTTTGGAGAATAGACACCACACGTCTCGCACCTTGACGGCATTCGGACACGAATAAGAGTAACAAGCCATCACATCTCCAGTCTCCGTCAACTTGCCACAGTAAGGCGAGTAACAAGCGGTAAACGTCGTCAACACGCCCGTCGGGATCTCAGCAAAATCGTTCGAGTCGAACGCGTTGTCGAAAAGGTACGCTTGCGATCCGGCGGAATCCTTGAGCGGGACATCCGACCAGTCGACCTCGTGGAACCAGAGGTTCTGTTGAAGAGTGCGAGCTATTTGGAGGGCGTAACGACGGTCGGCGCTCTTCGGCAGAATGTTGAGGATCGTGGTCTGCGGAGTAAAGCTTAGTTGTCGAATCCATTGAGAACAAGCCATGAATAAAAGCTTACGACCAGCTGCTCTCCCGTGAAGCAGTTGGGATGCTCCAACGCGCCCTTGACATTGTTCCCCCTCGGCACGTGGTCCTTGACGTACACCGCGATGTGCGACAGCAGCTCAGGCTTCATAAACGATTCGCCGCCCGACTCATTCAAGCTGCTCCCAGTCCCACTATCACTCCTGAAGAATCCATTAGCCCCCAACGACGTGTTCGGGGAGAGCGTCCCGTTTCGCGAGTACGGCTTGGAGAACGTCGAGTGCGTCTGCTGTGTCGAGGTCTGCGACGAAAGCGACGTCGTCCTGGAGGGTGGTGCTCCAATCGGCGGCGTGGTCATGATGGTAGGTTGTCGCGTAGGTTGACTATACTGCGACGAGTTCGGCAACGGCGTCGACCTATCCCGCTCAAAGTATGCGGCCGCCTCGTCCTCCTCAGGCGAGTACGTCTCCACCGGGTTCCTCCAGTCTCCCCCAGCCGCCTCTGCTACCGCTTGCCTCGCTCTCCCCGTTGCTCCCTTCTCCAGACTCTCCTGCCTATGCGTCGATCCGCTGAGGGTTGGCGACGCCGAGCCTCCGGCGGGGTAAAACGCGTCCCCGGGGGCTGTGGTCCAAGCTCCTTTTATCGAGTCGACTGAGGGGCGGCCACGAGTGGCGTTGAGGAGAGGGGAAGTGGCGTCAGTGTAGGTCGTGTTGTTGCTGGAGTTGCTGTTGGGTCGACGGGACGAGTCGGAGGATGAGTCGTAGCCTTGTTGACCGGTAGGACGATGGAACGACGTCGCGGTCGGGCGGTGCGCTTCAAAGCCGTTCGACAGGGCAGGATTCGACGGAGACCGGTAGGGCGCTTGTGAAGTCGAGCCCAGGTAGTCGTAAGAGGCCGAGGTTGGCAAGGCGGTGGACGAGTGGGTCGAAGCTGGGTACTGAGGCCGC